AAGGTAAAGATTAGGAGATGTCATCATTTGGAATTGAGCATGACGTATATTTTAAAAAGTTTTTTCAGCCAGTGAAAGCTTTTTCATATCCATCTTATTTTTCTTTCCATCCCCTTTTTGAAGAGAGTTCAGAGAATTAAAAAATAAAGGTATGGATATCTCCCATAGTTTTAAAGGTATACGAAGTTTACAAAGTTTTCACACATCTAGATAAGTAGCACCATACAAAAATAACTGTAAATTCAATACAAGACAATTTTGGGGAAAATAACCTATTTAGTTGTGTACATCAGTTGTTATGGTGATTTAACTTTAGAATCTTGGTACTCTAGAAGTAAAATATATCTAGTTTTATATTTCTAATAAACAGCCATTTTATTGGCTAATTATTTTTGGCTAATATTTATTTAATGGCTAATTACGAATATTTATTATTTTACAATAGGCTGATAAATGAGATTTTTTAAAAAATCACAATTAGATTTTGTATTTAAAGTACAAGCTAGTTGTGATTTTTTAAAAACAAATGTAATACGGCACTAACTATATATAAGCATTAAAATGCTTTTTGCATGGTAAATTTAAAAAATAAGTTTTTAAAAGTATATCCTATGAGCAATTGGTAAATAATGAAATAATATAAATAATATATTAGATTTCCACTAAATCTCTTTGATTTCTTATCTACTGCCTTAAGATTACAAAATATTTATAACTAGAAATAGAGCAATATTCATGCTGTTTAGTTGATATAGGTGTGGCTTCGAGAAACAAAACAAGATTCCATACTGAAGCAAGCCAAAAGTTTTGACACCCCAAATAACAAACAAATGATATAAGTCCTACCAGGATATAGATATCACAGAAGAAAGCAAGGAAAGAAATCAAGAATAAGGTGCAGAAGTAATATGATGTTTTTCTCAATCATATGTATTAGCAGAAATGTGGAACTGTAACTGTGTCAGGCTATTTTTTCAAGGATCTCCCAAATTTACCAGTGACCTTACCACACTGTGAACCATATCTGGTATAAGGCAGTGCATGGTTATAGAAGATCATATTTTGTAACCTGTATATAAAGATTAACAAATCTTTAAAGAGAAACAAGCAATTTGAATTTATTTTTCATAGTTCTATAACTAAGATCCCATTTCTTGGTTTTACTTTGTCCATCTAGACATGAGCAAAGTTCCCCTTTTTGTACAGAATAGAAAACTGTTACAGAACTAGTCTTTTACATGTAAATGGCATTAATCTATATTCACAAGTATGTAGGTACATCACAGAGCTTGGATAGGTGTGCATATAATAACTGAGGTATAACTTTTTAAAAGAACAATTCTTAGTCCTTCGGTTACTCAAGAACTTTGTTTTCTATTTTAACACACTGCTAGGGTTGTGCATGATATTCTTACTTATTTTTGAAAAAAGAAGTCATACTCAAAGCCTAACAGGAGTATGACTTTACAGAAGGCAGTATAATTTTGTAAGTAGTGACATCTTTTTAAATGGACAGTTTGATTATATATAAGATTCATAGATAAAATATGTCCTGATGTACTCAGCAGGTACAGCTATTAGCTAATCAAGACACACACTGCCAAATAAATCTCTGCCTGAATTACCAGTCATATTTTATCAACTCTACTGCAACCTTATCATTATAGTTAATTTTATACAATGCTTTATTGACAAAAATAATATAAAATTAATAACAACAAGGTAGCCCATTTAAGCATGAGGGGGTTTCTTTGGCAGACCTATGATTATTCCTTTTTTTCTTTTACCATTATAACTTTACTGGTATAAGCAGCAGAATTCCTCCAAATCAAAGGAAAATATATTGAGGGATCCTGAATAACAATTTTATTCCTAACTAAAAGTTTCTTACAAAGTTTAATCAATAAAACTACTGAGCAAGTGACTGTCCAAATCACTCCTATGTATCATCCCTTAATATAACACTAAGGCTAGATTGTTTATTTGAATTTTCAATTATTCCATTGGTTTAGACATTTCATGGTGATCTATTTAATCCATGGCAAACTTCTCGCTATAAATTGTACTCTGTCAGTTCTGGACTATGTGTTAATAGATAACTAACCTTGCATCCTAATTCCATCCAAACATTTATGTTCCCAGAGCACTCACAATGGGGCTGAGCTGAAAGTCAAGGGCAGATTAAGCATTTGTAGGGGTGTATTCTTCTCCATGCATATGCATTCTGAATGCATTTGAAAAAAACAAACTAAATGATTTTTGTTACATTTTTACTATTCTGTACCATCAGTATCTTTGTCAGATCATAAGAGTCATTACAGGTAAGTATAAAATTTGAATTCATAATGTGTCATATTTTTTTGGCTCTTAACCTGGGGTGCACTTAGGTTTATTATGTCACATTACCCTTAGTACATTCCTGCAGAATATCAGGGTGGTTATTATTACACGTGTTATTCGTTCATTTGAGTAAGAAAAACATATCCATAGCAAGAAGCCAAAAAGGCTCTGCCCTCTTGGGAAGTCATCTAGACAGTAGCAAAGCCAAGGCTTCTGTTAAAAATGGCTGTCTAATTTTATAATTGAGGTTCAAAAAGACACTATGCAGTCTTCTTAAAGGACAGATGAAGTGAACATCTTCCTCTTTCCAATTTTCTTTCCTCATCCTTTTCAGGGAGAATGTAAGTGATCAGACTGCCACACCTGACGTGGGGCAGCAGAGTATCTGCATCACCACGGTTCTCTTCACCTCTTGGCTTCATTCCACTAGCTCTCGGAACTAAGTCCACAGTGTTGATGGTGCAAGGTAAGAAAACTATTTTATTCCTGAAAGGTTAAACACACTTCTCTGGGTAATATTTCTGGAGACTCTTACAACACCATTTTTAAATAAATGTATCATTCTCTTTCAAACAAATTTGAAATAACTGTTTCATAAACTTCATCTTCATAAACTCAAGAATCTTCTAATAAAAATGATATTCCTATTCCTTAGAAATGTGCATCGCTCATCTGAAGCCTAGAGATATTCATGTATACACAAAACAGATGACAATAATGTGACCGCTCAATTAAATGGAATAATTTGTTGTAATGAAAGCAACATTTTAACATTGCATTGTACATTCTCACTGAAACTTTCCATAATATATTATTTCCTCTGACTAAAGATTGAATAATTTTGATTCTTAATATATTTGGGGAAGGTTTCATTACTGTCTGGAGAGAGCATGCAATCCAAAGGTGTCAGATGGCGTTCCCGCTCCACCCAGTACTTTGTGGGACGGTATCACCAGAGAATCAGTCTTTGTCATGATAACAACAATTACACTGGCCAGCCTACAATGCAGGGTTGCTGCCAAGAACCAGCTAACGAATTTTATGAAAATATTTTGAAAACTGTAAATTTGTACATAAATATGATTAATTGATCTGGAGGCAGCATGTTTTTGTTAACGGCATAGACTCCACCTGAATGGTTTCAAATCCTCATCCCTGGTGTCTACCTCCACGACCTTGTGCAAGATTTTCACTGTCTTCTTGTCAGTGGGGCAATAGTAATACTTAGCTTTTACACTGTTAGGATAATTCAATGAGTTAATATTTTTTAATTATTTAGAATAGCTTACCTTATATATTAAGTAATATTTAACTTACATGTTAATATTTAGCTTACATATTGGTAATAGTTTTGTTTGTCAAAGAAAATTAAAATATCCCAGATATCAATTTTATACTTATTATCCCTTGTATTCATTTTAGAGGCACACAAATAGAATTAGAAAGATGATAAAAAATGAAATAGAGATTATGTTTGAAGAGCCCAACTAATACTAATGTTATCTCCACAGTAATTTTTAACAGTAACAATATCTAAAATATATTAAACATCTATCATTAATATTTATTATACTCTTCACACATCTTTTTGTTTACACACACCATAATTCTTTACTTAGTGCTTATTTTTCCATTTTAAACATGCAGAAACTAATGCCAGGTAGAGGTAAGACTAACTGCCACTTTCTGGACTGCTTCAGATAAATTACTTATTGTCCAAAAGGTGAATGAACTAAATAATAACTTGAGTGTGTTCTAGCTTATGACTTAGTGTAGGGCTGGGATTGCTCTCTATTGAACCAGGCCGTCAGACACTCAGGAGCAGAGCCTGAGAAGATCATACTAGTCCAAATCTGAAGTGGTGCTCTAAAGCGGCTCTTAATGATTCCTGGATCTCATGCCAGCCAAGTCAGTCCCTGCAGATACCATTATCTGCACTACAAAGAAAGCTGAACAACCTTGCTGAAATGCACTGCTGTTACCAAGAAGTTCTGAACCACCTAAGAAGACTGTACTTAAAGGAGGAAATGTTCAGTGGAGGCAGGACAATGAATAAATTGGAGTCAAAAAATACACCTCCAATTTTTAAAACAATAATTTATAGAAAAGGAATAGAAAGAATTTCAGTATGGAGGATGGGCCAAAGACACTCTGAAGGGAAGAGAAGACGATGATGGATTAAGAGGACATCTCCTGGACAAACAACTCCTAACAGCCATTAGCATGCTCAAAATTTAAGAAGTAGTAGCCAGAATTTGCTTCCAAAGGAATTGCACAACTCCCTAACATCATTTTACAGAGGAAATGTTAACAGTAATCAACAAACTGAACAGTTGCTGTGATGACTCTATCTATGCTCTCCTTTCCACACATTTTGTTGCAATTTAATAAAAGGTCAATTTTTACAGGGCTCCAAATATTTTTAACCAATGAAAGCCCTTTAGAAATGTAAGGAACAGGCTGAACAATGGAAACACAACATTAGAAAATAAAAATGAAAATGGCACTAAGCAATTTGCATGTTTTTTTATATTAAGCAGTAGTTATCCATGAAAACATACTTTATAAAACACTATAGTATAAGAAAATGCTTTTGGTTGTTTAATAGCATTCAAATCACTTTTCATTTATTTGAATACCCTGGATTGCATTTTCCTTACCCCCGAGATGTTGATGGAACTTGAAGTCACGCCATATTGTGCTCATCCCTGCTTTGGCTCCTCTATTTCAAATATCCCTGAGTCAGCTTCACACCTTAAGGAACCAGATGAGCAAGAGATGAAGTAGCAGCAGCTAGAGAAATACCACAAGCATGAAAGGACTGCTTACAACTATCCTTTGTAAAGACATTGTTACTGGGCTACGCAGTTAGTCTTCTACTCACCAGGCCTTAAAAAGTATATTTGATATAGAAGGATTAAATAGTCTTTAATGAATAAGGCCTTCAATTTTAAAATATCGTTATTTATTCCACAAAGTATACTTTCAGAACACAAGTTATTTTTTGATAAATTTATGCTATTGGAGAAAACAGTGATTCAAGTAAGTATAGGTTATCTAATCCACACTGACATCCCCAGATTCCCCAAATCAGTGTTTACAACCTCATCTTCAGAATCATGATGACAAAAATATTTATACATGGAAAACTTGAAGTACTTCACTGGACATTAGGGACATAAAATGCATGATGGTCATCTTGAAAAGCATAAAGCGTTTTCACATAATTTAAGACAAAATAACTTAAGGCAACATGTATGTGCTAAACATGAAGAACAAGAAATAAAAGTTACCATTAAAGGAAATAAATACTTAATTGTATCAAGGAAGATCCTTGAAGGAAAGTGTCTTCTTACATAGATTTACGTTATTTTAAACTCAACCACAGAGGAAGAACTGAAATGCCTATCATCAATTTTTAATATTGATTGAATTTTTACAGTTGTCAATTTGACTTCTGCACAGTAAGCTGTATCTTTGTCTTTCAAATGGATTTGAATCCTTTAAAAAATGAAATAACATACCTTTTTCGGAACTAGAATTTAAACATTTGTATGTGTTTGAAAGGTTATTTTCCACAGAAAACTGAGCTCAAGTAAAATTGCTCTGTAAACTTCAGAGCAGGGGTTTGGGTAAAGTCTGTTTTCATGGCAAAGTATGGCTCCTAGGAAACTGTGACTAATCTATGTGTCCTTTAATTCTGCTTTGACTTGATGGAATGGTTGCTATTATCTTCTGATATTTTTAATAGAAAATAGAAAATGTCTCCATTCAGTGTATTTGTACTGAAAATGAGTAAATTTAGCATCCTTAATTTTCAGAGAAAGAGATGAACCTCCCTGGATTGATGCCCAGAACCACAGAAATAACAGAATTGGATGTGCCGAGACAAAAGTATAGATGTGGTAACAGTTAACAAAAATTGGTCCCATAGCGTTTGCTCTTCACATGGAATTTTCCTACAGCTACACAGTGGTAGGTCATAAACTGAGTACAAGAAGCTATTTCTTTATGATACTCTGCAAACTCCCAGGAGGCCATGTATTAATTGTGCACCTATCTGTGCAATTTATTAAATATCACTTCAAGATGCTCTCTCTACTTCACTGTACATGGATTGGAATTCAAAGGCAATGGACAATCTCAAATCCATTGGAATTGGAAACATGTGCTGCATGGTAAATTACATCACAAGAGAACAACTGGGGCTGCTTGAGCAAAAAACTCATCTCTGTCCTATGGTTACAGGCTATTGCAGTTTCTTTTTTTTAATAATGCTTTGAAATTTTATTTTATAATCATCAGTATAACACACGGTTTTCTGCAAGGACATCTAAAATGGAATTCGACTTCCTACTGTGGGGACCCACTCAGAACCCAAGAGTTAGAATGACAATTGTTTTAAGCTGACAATGTTTTTGAGATTCAGCAGATGCAGAAAGAAGCCTTTTCAGAGTTTCCCTTATCTGACAAAAAGCAACGATTTCCAGAAAACGAGGCTGCAATAAATTACTCTCAGGAGAGATACCAAGAGTCAATCTACCATAAATCTCCCCTTGGGGGGAAGACCAGTCACACCTACATAAACAAACATCGCCACAAACCTTTTTATCTCCCATGTGTTCTCCTAAGACCTCAGTAGCATTTCCTAGAGAAACTTCATTCTTCTCAGGTTTTTTTTTCCCCTCTGTCCTTTCTCCTCCTAGGTTAGGTATCTAAGCTAAGCCTTTACCTGTAACCATTTAGCAAGCTAGCTGCTGCTCTTATTAGCTCCCTCATGCATAGCAATGGTTTTTTTTCTCCTGTTAATTTGTCTTTATTCAGTTTAATTCGAGACACACAGTCACTAGCCTAAGAAAAGGATTTTTCCTCCTAGACCATAGAGATCAAAGCACCTGAATAGCCTTTCAGATATGAGATATGATCAATTGAAACGTGTATCACGACCCACAAAATTGAGGCCTGGCCCAAAGTACAAATCGCAACTTCAGTCACCCTGCCCTGTCCCGGGAACCTAACCCGCCCCGAACCTGACCCTCCACCCCAGGGGCGCCTCCCTTGCCCAGGGAAGGGGGTCCCGCCGGCCTCAGAGGGGAGTTCCCGACCCCCCACGGCCCGTGTCCGTGGTGCCCACGGCAACCTCTGCAACATTTGGGAGCCCCCAGGTCCCCCGGGGGCCGAGCCGCGCTGCCCGTCCTCCCCCGGTCCGTGGGGTGTTCTCCCCTGAAGAGAGGACATCAACCGTGCTACTAACTTGTGTTCGTTCTGTCGCCGGCCCCGACAAGGGCCCTGGGGCAGCGGAGGTTCCTGACGGGACCCGGCAGGCGCCTCGGAGCCTCGCGGTCGCCGCGCCCGGGATCTCGGGCAAAGTCCCGGATGTTGCTCCGCTCCTGTGTTTTTTTGTTTTTTATTTTTTGGAGGGTCTGAGCGCCTGGAGTTTGTCCTCATCTTTCCGGGTGGAAACTTAGGTGGGAGAGGTTCCAGGCATTTCCCGGAGAGATGAGTGGGCCGCAGCCCGTAGGATGGTGTCGGACCCCAAGTACCAGGTGGCGCCTCCAGGAGCTTCCGGCAGCCCCAGTCCATCTGGTTGAGTAGGGGGTTATCTCAACGGGGAATCTGGTGAGCGCCTCTCAGTCTAAGAAAGCAAGGGGACAGCCTGTAGGAGGCTCACAAAGCCTCGAATTAAGTCCCTGGCATAAACCACTGGGGCACTTGGGAAAATAAAAAGGCAGGAAATTCGTATTATTTGGACCAGTGGCACATCAAGATCCAAGTAGGCACGAGTGAGACTATTAAAAGCCACTGTGGCCCACTGGAAAGAAATCTGGAATAATAGACCTGTTGCTAATGAGAAATCTGGGAAACCAAAGCCGCAAAATTGGTGGGCACAGATTGAGCACTTAAAAGCTCTTAGTGCACTCATTTTGTCATTTGACAGATACAAAGGATATTAGAAAAGTTAACTTAGCTTAATTACAAGAAAAAGCCTATAATGAGTTTCATATACGTGGGTATTCTTTAAGGAAGATAATTCAAATAATCAGGACTAGGTACAAAATGAAAGATGATGCCTTCCAGTTTACATGAAAGAAAGGCTTACCCAGTAATTGAGATTTTTTTAAAGAAGAAAAATAATGTGGATGTGTTTGTTAGTGACCATTATTTAGTGTTTATTTTTTATATAAATAAACTTCAGAAAGATAATAGAATAAGTTCCTCAAGGCCCTTTCAACATTGAAAATTAAATTTGAAGCTAAAAAAGCCAATGTTAAAAGTTTTATTATTTTTATATTATGCTTATTTCAAGAATATTCTCTTACATATTTAGGAATTAAAGACATTTTCTGTACTGCAGCACTTAAATGTAAAGCTTAATTATCTTATGTATGTAAATACATACATGCAATATTAACATGGTCTCTGATTATCATTATCAAAGACAAAATTCTAATTCACATGGCATTTCTTTGTGTTTTAGTTTCTTATTATCAGTAATTCACCACACTCAGAGCATGAGAACCTACCTTTAAAAAAGGGAAAATTGCATGTTAAGAGGTTTGTCCTTTACTTTCATATACCAAGAGTGAAAATGTTTTAAGAACTGAACTATCGAACAGAGCAATTTATAAAAAGATGACTCTCAGAAGATAAGTAAGATTCTACAGCATCTTACTATGCTGTGGACAGTGACTGTAATGGGGTATGTGGAGGGGGGACTTGGTAGTGGGGGGAGTCTAGTGACCATAATGTTGTTCAAGTAATTGTACATTAATGATATAAAAATAAAAGAATTAAAAAAAAAAAGATGGCTCTCAAAGGCTACCTTTTCCTTCCCAAGAAAATGCATGCCTGTAATTAAATGGGCAGAAATGGGTGAGACTGAGAGCTTGCCAGAGGTGGCTTGAAAAGGCAAGCAACTCCTAAGGAGCCCTGGTATTCCTGATCAAGGTGGAAAATTCCTGGTCCACGTATGGCAAAGCTGCTAGTTTTGAAGAGCTTTGTTTGGCCTCCCTTTTCCACACCTGTCCCAGGTAGACCGGAAAAGCACAGACCAGTATCACGGTCTTGTTTTCTGTGAGCACAAGAGAAGGAATGTGAGGTCCAATAATGGGAGATACCTTAGGAATTTAGTGAAAAATGAATAAAGGGAAGCATACCCATTCTGCACATATATTATGGACAGGATAATTACAACAGAGCAGAATAGTATTTTTAGAGTATTGAACAGCAAGGATATTTGCAAGTACAGAGCTGAAATGCAGATGATCTCTATGGGTCTAAAATAAATTATGTGAAAAATGTAGATGAATTCAAAAAAAGGAATATAAATCATGATTGGTGTATAGGACAATCACTCAGATGAACACCGGTCATTAAGTTCAAACTGATTTCAATGAAAACATTGTGGAATTCAGCACTATGGATAGTAGTGAAAGCTTTTTAACAGCATTACATGTTCTTTTACTAATTTTAAAGTCAAATTTCAGCCAATTTTACAGAAAATAAGCATATAATAAAGGGCTATAGGAAAGGATTTTATCATTGTGTTTCATTTATACAAATAGTTATACCTAATTCAGGTTTTAAACTAAATTATGTTGACAAAGTGAATATATATAGAAGCATTAATGTTAAAAACTTTATTCTTTGACTTTGCTAAGTTTGGGGTTTTCTGTTTTGTTTTATTTTTTTAACTTATGGGAGCATACAGTTATCATCTAGGCATCTCAAATGCACTGAGTTGTTAAATTCTA